CAACCTGTTGCCAACTCCCAAACACCCATGCGATGTAGTGGCGAGAATGTTAGACTAGGACCCGCGAGGCCAGGGACTGAATCCGCTCTCGGCCATACAGCTCCCTGGGTGACCTTGGGCCAGTCGCAGTTTCTCGGCCCAACCTACATCACTGGGTTGTTGTGAAGGTAAAATGGCGGGGAAGACAACTACGTACTCTGCAACCTTGAGCAATTTGGAGAAAAGGTGGGATATCAGTGCAATAGTAATCATCATCATCTGCAGAGCACCAGGCTGGCAAAGTCTAGTCTGGGGATTGTGCATGTGATACAGCAGCAACAAGACATATGGATGGAAGGACTTCCCTCTGAGTGATGTCTGGTTGGAATATTGTATCAGGGCTGGAGTCAGACACAGGTCAGCATGAAAGTCACAGGGCTCCCTTATTAGTGAAATCAACTCTTTATTCAAGGAAACGGCAAACAACTCAGCAACACTTCCAAGTAGGCCTTGACCCTGTGAAGCAGTTGCCAGGAATGAAGGTCCCTGCCTTTCACCCTTCCAAAGTCTCCCTCTCTCCTAGATGTTTCCCAAGCAGTCTCAAACTGCACTTGTGCACCTGCTCTGCCCTCATTCTTCTGCATCTTCTTGGAGACCAGCGAAGAGGGAAGTTTGTCTCAGCAGGAGGGAGAGAATCCTTTTATTCTGCAGCAGCCTCTTGAGCCCCCACCTCTGCTTCAGCGTCGGAGTCTGAACTGCTCCCTGTCACGGGCTCTCCCTGCTCACTAAACCTGTTGCCCCTTCAGCACCCAGCCCCTCCTCTCAATCTTCTGCCTCTGCCCTCTCCTCAGTGTTCCATCACCAACCCCCCAGGCTCTGAACCTTCCTCCTCTGGGGGTTCCCTTGGGGGTTCCCAAGCTGGTGCCTCCTCCTCAACCAGCTGGTCCCTGACACATTGTTTGAAGGTGCTTGATGCAGCAACCTCCCTGAAGCCAAGCAGCTTGGACTCTGCAAAGTGTGTGCAACTCCTTGGAGCCCTGCGTACACCACCTTGAGCTCTACAGAGGAAAGGTAAAATACAAACACTAATGAATAAATGGTGGAGTGTGGTTGTGGAATTCCTTTGGCTTCTCTCCAGATCTTTCATCCTGGCAGATGCCCAAGGATGCTGAGTGCTGACGCCAGCCTCAACCATTGACTTGGCACATATACATGAAATACTGCTGGAGGCTGTCAGGGATGTGCTTTGCTTTCTCCAGGAACACAATGGTCTGGAAGTACAATGGACACGCTTTTGTTCCTTCCCTTTTGCCCCGTTTCTGTGCCACAACACGACCCTGAGTTCAAGTACCTGCTGCCCTCTTCCCTCCATAAACACCTTGCTGAGCTCAGCTCCAATTGTCGCCCTCTTTGAAAGCCCAGAGGCTCTTTAATGTCGATGGATAGGCGCTAATGAATTTCCTTAAAAAGGAAAATTGTCTCGCCGAAGGGCCTGACCTTCCCGGTTCTCGGCTTAGAGCCCTGCGTTACAGCACCGCGCTTCATTTGTTACCTTTCCGCACATCACTGGGAAAGGTAATTACAGTTAAAATTAAACTCTGCCGACTGTGTCCTGCTGCCTTTTAACGGCGAGACGCAACTCGGAGACCAATCCGAAGGCATTCTCTTCTTGTTTAGAAGATTCATGTTTATCTAATGCGAAGTCAATATTATTGTCCTGTAAAGAGTTAGGGCGCCGCTAACAATCCATCAGGGACTGCTTCTTTTATCGCAGCAGGGCTATGCTCCGCCGGCTCAGAAACCATTTAACAGGACTAACGCTTGGGCGCGCCTCTGCTGCGTCAGCATCCAGGCCGCCATTTATCTCGGCCCTGAAATGGTTCGCACGGAAGTGTTTCCAGAGTGTTTCAATAGGGAGGCGTCCCCGAAATGGAGAAGAGAAAGAGGGAGAGAGAAAGAAAGAAAGCAGGCGCAACACAAAAGGGTCTCCACACACAAAAGGGCTACGGAGAGCTACACAAAGGAAATGGAAGTGCAGCTCTCTATTTCAATTCTGTGCCAGCTTTGTTGCTTATTCAGTGGCCATGAGAAGGGGATTTACATAGGGCACATCTAGCAGTTCAAAAGCACGCCCGTGCTAGTAAATAAATAGGTACCACTGCGGCAGGAAGGTAAACGGCATTTTTGTGCGCTCTGTTTTCTGTCACGGTGTTCCGTTGCACCAGAAGCAGTTTAGTCATGCTGGCCACATGACCCAGAAAGCTGTCTGTGGACAAACACTGTCTCCCTCAGCCTGAAGTGAGAGGAGCACCGCACCCCATAGTAGCCTTTGACTGGGCTTAACCGTCCACTTAAAGCTATGGTTTTCCCAGTAGTGATGTATGGAAGTGAGACCTGGGCCATAAAGAAGGCTGATCACAGAAGAATTGATGCTTTTGAATTATGGTGTTGGAGGAGACTCTTGAGAGTCCCATGGACTGCAAGAAGATCAAACCTCTCCATTCTTAAGGGAATCAGCCCTGAGTTCTCACTGGAAGGACAGATTGTGAAGCTGGGGCTACAATACTTTGGCCACCTCATGAGAAGAGAAGACTCCCTGGAAAAGACCCTGATGTTGGGAAAGATTAAGGGGACAAGGAGAAGGGGACGACAGAGGATGAGAAGGTTGGACAGTGTTCTCGAAGCTACCAGCATGAGTTTGACCAAACTGCGGGAGGCAGTGGAAGACAGGAGTGCCTGGCCTGTTCTGGTCCATGGGGTCACGAAGAGTCGGACACGACTAAATGACTAAACAACAGCAACAACCGTCCAGGGGTCCTTTACCTTTACCTTAAGGCACAATGGCATCATCTGCAATAAGGACTTAGGGATTTGCCCTACACCAGGTTCGACAATTTGTTCCCCATGACCAGTGTTGTCTACTCTGACAGGCAGCCCCTCTCCTGAGTCTGGGGCAGAGAAGGGTTTCCTGTCTCCTGAAACTTAACAGTTTAAACATCAAATTGGTGATGCCATGATGATGATGATGATGATGATGATGATAATAATAATAATTTATTCCCCCAGCCACTCTGGGCGGCTCCCAATATTAAATATTAAAAACACAATACAGCATTAAACATTTAAAAATTCCCTAAACAGGGTTGCCTTCAGATGTCTTTTAAAAGTAAGATAGTTGTTTATTTCCTTGACATCTGCTGGGAGGGCGTTCCTCAGGGCAGGTGCCACTACTGAGAAGACCCTCTGCCTGGTTCCCTGTAACCTCACTTCTCGCAGGGAGGGAACCGCCAGAAGGCCCTTGGCGCTGGACCTCAGTGTCCGGGCAGAACAATGGGGGTGGAGACGCTTATTCAGGTATACAGGATCAAGGTCGTTTAGGGCTTTAAAGGTCAGCACCAACATTTTTCAATTGTGCTCGGAAACATACTGGGAATGGAACTTTGGAACTTTGAATGGAACTTTGATTCCTTTTTTCTTTTTTTGACCTTTCTTTGCTCTGCCTTGCATGAAACTGGACTTTGCAAAGATTACTCTTGCCTTGTCCTTGATAGGTTAGTTTGCTACATGCAAGGAGCTTTTGATATGGGGGATAATTCAGAAATATGACGTGTTAGGGCCATCATTAGCTGATACACCAGCCTGGAAGAATTCTGGGACTAGGTTCTGCTGTGTTTTATGTCAGGACTCTTGGCCAGTGGACTATATTTAGGCAGCTAAGGCTTTGTATTTCTTTATTGGTTTGGGAGTTTCCCAAAATCTGCTCACACCTCTTCCTTGTGCATAGATGGTGCTGTTATGGCTACATAACAATTCATGCTCATTTCCAAACTTCAAAATAAAGGGAATTGTTCCTCACTCTTTTTACACACACACCCCAAGCATATTAACCTCACCTTAATTACTTTTGTGTGTGTGACAATGTGACATTCAGGGAGAAGGTCATTTAACCCATGTTTATTGGGCAAATACATCAAGCTCCGAGATAGCACATAATGCAAACTATTTTCAAATTGGGTTCAAGAATTAGAGTGACAGAATGAATGAACTCCACAGCTGAAGAGCAAACATTTAATGTGGCATGTTCAGCTCTGGCCAATTTGATTAGATGTAATGCCATATTTTCTCATGCAAGGGGTAAATATTGAAATATAGCTCTAGCCTGTTTGGTTGGCTGGAAGGATTTAACAAGGGTTAATAAGGATAACCTCTGTTATGCCTCCTACAACAAAATTTATCTCTCGGCTTTACCTATTACAAAATTTAAAAAATATATACAATCCTATAGGATCAGAGGCAAACCTCGCTGAATTCAATGAGATTTACTCCCAGGTAAATGTGTATAGAACTGCAGCCAAAGCATGCATTGACAAGGCACTGCAGACATTTTCCTCTGAAGATAATATCAAAAGCGATTTGTTTATTCCCTGGTCCAGCCCTTGTTTCATTAGATACTATTATCACCACCATCATAATTATTATATATTTCTTTATATCCCCCACCCTTTTCCCTGACAGGGACTCAAGATGAAATGGGAACAACTAAAAACATAGGGGCACCAAACAATAATTTTAAAAATTTAAAAATTGAAATTATATATATATGGGAGAGATCTATTTAAACATACTGATAATTCCAATAAAAGCAGCACAACACCAGTCCTTTCATTAAAAGCAGTCTGCTCCCCAAAGCCGCTGGGAATATTAAGGTCTTCACCTGCCAGCAGAAGGAAAAGGTATGAGGGGCACCCACTGTCTGGACTTCCCAGAAACAACTTTTTCCAGCTGGATGGAAAGATCTCCATCTTATGTGTTCATTTTGTACCATTTAAAAAACTGTTACATAGGAACATAGGAATCTGTCTTATACTGAAACCGGCCTTTGGTCCATCTATCTCAGTACTGTCTACACTGACTGGCAGCGTCTCTCCAGGGCTTCATAGAACCATAGAGTTGGAAGGGATCCAAGGGTCATCTAGTCCAACCCCCTGCAATGCAGGAACAGGGTCTCTCCCAGCCCTACCAGGAGATGCCAGGGATTAAACCTGAGACCTTCTGCATGCAAGGCAAATGATCCAGCACTGAGCTATGTCCCTTCCTCATTTTATATGCTGTTTGTAAATTGTCATGTGGTGGTGGTGGTGGTGGTGATGATGATTTATTGAATTTACCATATTTTTTGCTCTAGAAGACACACCAGACCACAAGGTGCATCTAGTTTTTGGAGGAGGAAAACAAGAAAAAAAATATTCTGAATCTCAGAAGCCTGAACAGCAAGAGGGATCGCTGTGCAGCGAAAGCAGCGATCCCTCTTGCTGTTCTGGCTTCTGGGATAGCTGCGCAGCCTGCATTCGCTCCATAAGACGCACACACATTTCCCCTTACTTTTTAGGAGGGAAAAAGTGAGTCTTATAGAGCAAAAAATACAACAGCAACAAGTAATAAATAATAATATGAATATGGAATATAACTGCAAGTCCTTGGCCATCATTTTTAACGATTTCTGTGCTATTTTACACACACTTTCCTTACCAAGCAAAACTAAATTATATTCATTTAACCAGAATGTACTTTGAATTCACAAGTCATCTTACAACTTTTTAGCACCCCTCATTTTTGTCATTTTAAAGTTGAAAATTTCAGCATGCCCTCGTGCCACAGGGTGACCTATATCACAGGACCAGGGTGATTCTGGTCCATCGTATTAGAATATCTTTTTGAACTATCTGCCGTTCTCACCTCTGGGTATGCCACCCACCTGGCGATGGGATTAGGGAACTGATGCCCCTCTTGCCGTCTCTGGTTTGTGTCTTGCCCTGCTCTTTCTGATAATCCCCTTCCAAGGGAGCTGCCTTCATTACAGCATTATAGCAATAATTCTTCAGCCCCCCACGGTGCCTCTGCTTTCAAATCAGAGTTCTGTAATATGGTCCGTGCTATATCACAAGGATGAAGCAGGAACGCACCTGGAACTCAGGGGAGGCTTGGAATTCAAACTAAATTATAATTATAAGCCCGCCACAATCTTTGAAGACCCAGGGCTGCCTTATTAAGTAATCACTTAAATTTGCACCAGGCTAATCATGTATTTGCTCAGCTTGGTATAGGAAGGGTGGGGGAGGGGAAGATATGAAGGAAGGTGTCTTTATTTTAATTCATCTTTCAATTTCCACATACTGTAGGGAATCTCATGCAGGTATGATGCCAAATAAATTGCTTCACCTGCTATTAACAGTGCCCTAGCAAGAAAGCTGATATCTGGAGGCTTCATTAAAACTGGAGCCGTTATTAAGCACTGAACAAAATGAATTCCTCAAGTTCAGTTGGGGCAGGAAGCGGAGAAGGAAATTTGGGTCTGTGAATAGGTCACACCAGAAGCTCGAACTCTGATCAGGCATATCACTGACAGGATGTCCTTGGGCCAATCATGAATTTGCCACAGCTCCAAGGAGACCCACCAAAGTGATGGGAAAGGGCCGTAGCTGAGTGGTGGCGCCTCTGCTTTTCATGCAGAAAGCTTTGGGTTCAATCCCTGACACTTCCAGGTGAGGCTGGGTTTGTCTCCCATCTCAAACCCCAGACAGCTGCTGCCAGTCCGTGTAGACAACTCTGAGCTAGATAGACCAAGGGCCTAACTCCCTATAAGGCTGAAAGGCTTCAGCCCTGCATACCTGAAGAAGCGTCTCCATTGTTCAATCCGGACATTGAGGTCCAGCTCTTTCTGGCAGTTCCCTCATTGTGAGAAGTGAGGTTACAGAGAACCAGGGTTTTCCCCCCAGCAAGATCTTGCAGAAACTCAGTTTCAGCACCTCTCAGGTGGGCGCCATTATAAGAGAACAAGGGAGGGGTTCATGGTGAATTCCGGCACCGCTTTTTCTAGGGAAAAAAGCACTGCAGAGAACTAGGCACAGGGCCTTCTCGGTGGTGGCACCCGCCCTGTGGAACGCCCTCCTGTCAGATGTCAAGGAAATAAACAACTATCTTCTAGAAGACATCTGAAGGCAGCCCTGTATAGGGAAGTTTTTAATGTTTGATGTTTTACTGTGTTTGTTGGAAGCTGCCCAGAGTGGCTGGGGTAACCCAGACAGATGGGCGTCAAACAAACAAACAAATGGCAGTCTTCCTATGTTCCTGTGGTGCTTGTCTACCCACTTTCCCTACCATTGTCTAAATGTAGGAAGTGGCCTTATATGTGGGACAAGCTCCAAAATACACTACCTCCGCTATTTCCCCCCTATCGTGCTTTCATTGTGAACAATCACCAAAGAGGTAGACATGTTAGTCCTTTGCAGCAAAAGCAGCAAAAAGTCCTTTCATTGTAAATACGTCAGAGATCCTATCACAAATCTCCCATCTCAAGCCAGTGTGGCAGGAAGCAAGTGAATTGGGACCATGGCATTTACAGTGAGAGCTATCCCCTTTTCCTGAGCCAAAAGTCCCACAGCTATTTGTTTATTATTTTATTATTACATTTGTTCCCCACCTTTTCTAAAGAACATAATGTCGTATACATGGTTCTTCCCTACTCCCAATTTTATCTTCACAACAACCCTGGAAGGTTGGTTGGGCTGAGAAATAATGACAGGCCCAATGACTGACTGGGGATTTGAACCCTCATCTCTTAACCACTATCCCAAAATGTATTTACATTTCCCTATATGCTTTCCTAACACCACCACCAGCTAGTCTGGGTGGAGGGTTAGTCAACCAACATGATTGACAGCAGCAAACACTTATCTACCACCCTGGGTCCTGATCCGTCCCTCCCCCCAAGTTGCTTTTCAGAGAAATTTGAAGAGACGGGAAATCCACTCAGGAGCTCTGTGATGTCTCATCCTTCAGCCAATAAGGATGCATAGCATGTTGTCAGGTGACCAAATGAGGACCACTGAATCGCAAATGTGTTTTAAAGGGGCATCTGGTGCACAGAAAGGACCGCTTCTTTGTGTTTGCTATCAGTGCTGCAAAGAAAAAGAGGATTGAAAAAAATGCCCGGAGGCTGCTTCGCTGCTCAGCTCTGTGGCTGAACAACAGATAAGGGAACTCGCAGCGGGAAAACAAATGAACATTGTGGCATGTAGGTATTGTCGGTAATTAATACTGCGGAGAGAAGATTGCAGGCATTAACTACCACTTTGGCATTCGTCGTCTTCTTCATTCCATGACGACTGTACGTAGAAAATGAATCATGGATGCCTCTGTAGCATTTGGACAGGGTAATGATACATTTGATGGCGATGCTACCCCCACTTCGTAAATTACCAACTGCTGGTTTGGATTAGCCACACAAACCATCATTATGAACTGCTGAAAAGGTAACATTTGCAAGGTCGAAGGGTATTCTGTTTTATTCTCTCCTCTGCACGTCAGGTCGCCCCTTTTGTTGTGGAGATGGGAGAGAACTTGTGGAATTATAACAGCTTTACAGCAGAATGTCGACAGAGCAGCGTTTGGGGATGGATGACTCATCGGCCCTATTCAGGTCTGGACATAAAAGCATAAGAAGAGGCTGCTGGACCAGGCCAATGGCCTGTCTAGTCAAAGAATCATAGAGCTGGAAGGGACCCAAGGGTCATCTAGTCCAACCTCATGCAATGCAGGAATCTCAGCTAAAGCATCCATGACAGATGACCATCTAACCTCTGCTTAAAAATCTCCAAGGATGGGGACATACCTGTAGCTGTCAACTTTTCCCTTTTCTTGCAAAGAATCCTATTTGGAATAAGCGAATTTCCCTTAAAAAAAAGGGAAACGTTGACAGCTATGGATGGGGAGCCCACAACCTCCTGTTCCACAGCTGAACAGCTCTTGCCATCAGAAAGCTTTTTCCATATGTTTAGTCAGAATCTCCTTTCTTGACACTCGAAGCCGTTGGTTTGAGTCCTACAATCCAGAGCAGGAGAAGACAAGCTTGCTCCATCTTCCATGTGACAGCCCTTAAGATACTTGAAGATGGCTTTCATAACTCCTCTCAGTCTCCTCTCTACATTTAAAGCACACATTTTTCCTGAAAGAATGCTGGGAACTGCAGCTTCCCTGTCAGGGAACTACAATTCCCAGCACCCTCTTTAAAGACTCTTTAAAGTGGTATGATACCACTTGAAACGCATAGAGCAGATGGGGCCCGAATTTGCCTTTGCAGAGTGTTTTATGATGTAAGTTGCCTAATGTACTCCAGCATGAAATGCCACACAGAAATTGCATTCCCTCTAATGGGTCATCACTTCTGTGATCGAGCATTTGATGTTCTTTTATTATTTTCTCTCCTTCACCATATTCCAAACCTAATTCTTTCCCCCCTGAAATGAGCATTATTGATCTTCTTATTAAATGCTGTCTACCTAGTATGAATTTTTCACATCGGTAGTGACATTTATTTTTATTTTTATTTTTATTTATTTTTTATTTCAAAAAGAAAAAAGAAATAATGATTATTATTTATCTGCAGCCCGGTGCTCTAAAGACCAGCTTCATCAAGCAGTTTTTGAATGGATTTCCACTAAATACCATGTGTACAAAAGGCTTGTACCTCCTTTGCAAAATGCCATACATTGACTACATCTCTTAGGAAAACGGTGCAATCAATACATGATTATCTTCCTCGAACATTCAGGCCATGGAAATCTTCTTTTGTGGTTGCTCTTCATTATCAGTTTAAAAGGACAGTCCATCCACTTCCATTTTTTAGATACTTTATTTATATATGTGGTTGGTTGGTTGGGTGGGTGGGTGTCAGTGTAAAGTTTCAGTTGTTTTATTTAGATTCATGGTAATAATTTATTTATAGGAGATATGATTAAAAAAATAATTGTTTGATTTGGAAGCACCGAGAACAGTGGTGGGTGAACTCTCCTCAGATTGATTTTGAATCAAGCTCAGCCTTCTCAAGCTTTCTCAATGAGAAGAGTTGGGTGGCAGGAAGAGGAAGCCCATTTGATCTTTCAACATGATACTCAGATATGTGCTTTATCATAATGGCCCCTATGTCTGTTGGTAGATTTGGGACAGCTAGAAGAAAGTTCTACATGCAGCACTTAGTTAATCTATGGAACTGTTGCGATTTTTGACTACGTGCCATTCTGTACAGCTTCACACAAAGCAATCAGACGTTGGCCAAAAGCCAAGGATGACTGAGCAGAGGAGTATCTCCACCTGGAGATATGGGACCTTGGATACAGCTCTACCATTGGTTGAGGTCTCACACAGGCACAATGACTTATGACCTTACTGACTGGATAGTTTGTTGGTCAGTGTGGTGTCCTGAGAGAAGAGAGTCATTTGGAGTTTGTTAAGAGAGAGCTCGTTAAGATCCGTATCTGCTCTGTTCTTGTATATAGTAACTTGTAGAGTCTGCTGTAAATAATGAACACCTCTAAGTAACCAAATTACTAGTAGCAGCGTCTGGTTCCTGCTTCGTCCATCCTGCCTGCAACTGATTGCTTTCTGGAACTCTGCGTATGCTCTGCTAAGGTCCAGCAACAGGTCAAAGTTGCGAAACTCCAGTAGGAATTCCCTGCTGCAGGAGGCACTGATGGCCACCAACTTGGGTGGCTTTAACAGAGGATTGGACAAATTCATGGAGGATATCAATGGGTATTAGCCATGATGGCTATGTTCTGCTTCCACAAACAGAGGCAGTGATGTTTCTGACTAGCCCTTGCTGGAAACCGCAGAAGGAGAGAGTGCTCTTGTGTTCGGGTCCTGCTTTCCCATAGGCATCTGGTCATCTACTGTGAGAATGGGATGCTGGACTAGATGGGCCATTGAAATGATCCAGCAGGGCTCTGCTAATGTTCTCAGTAGTTCTCAGTACCAGCTACAGCTGAGAGCTCCTTGGAGATGCACACCTTTTAGCTTGCACTGAGACAAAAAAGGTTTCTTCCCTGCATCTTCTACTGTAATCTATCTATTATATAGCCATAGTATCCAAAATCCTGTCACTTTACAAGTGTCATTGTATTCCTGCCAAGGATTTCAACTGTCTACAGTGGTCTCTCAAATACGTTAAAAAGTTATTCCAGTCTTTCAAAATAGCGTCTTTCTGGTTTCTGATCTTTCCTGTCAATCTTGACATTTCCACATATTCCATCAGCTTGGTCTACCACTCTTCCCTGATCAGTACAGTAGTACCTCAGGTTACAGACGCTTCAGGTTACAGACTCTGCTAACCCAGAAATAGTACCTCAGGTTAAGAACTTTGCTTCAGGATGAAAACAGAAATCGTGCGGTAGCAGCGGGAGGCCCCATTAGCTAAAGTGGTACCTCAGGTTAAGAACAGTTTCAGGTTAAGAACGGACCTCTGGAACAAATTAAGTACTTAACCTGAGGTACCACTGTACACAAGAGTGGAATGTAGCCCATGTCACTGCCATTCTTTAATCACCCTAATTGTAAGGATGGAAGTGTTTAAAGTGTGTTGCTCAGGGGATGACTGACCTGTGTTTTGATCTCCCTTTCCTATGAGGCCTTAGGCACAAATACCTGGGAATATGCCCCACTGAACGCAGCAGCGTTTATTTCTGAATAAACATGCTTAGAATTGCAGTGTGAGAAGATGTAAAATAATATATTTCATCATGGTGTGTTTTTTTTAATAAAATCAAATTATTTCCTTTTTTAGCTGGACTGGGCACACAAGTACAGAAGAGACCTAATTAAGCTGCAGCATTATTATTTTTTTATTTTAAAAAAAATTGGGAAGAGAGGAGAAAAGTAGCAACTTTAAACACGATCAGTTCCCCCCCCAGTAGACAAAGATGTCACTGAACACATAATATGCTATAATTAATCCTTTCATGGTTTCTTGTCTGCACTGTACGATATAACTATAGGTTGTCTGTTACCTAGTGATTTCTGCAGGTGAGCAATTATCATGATAATTAATAGTTAGAGAAATTACCAGGACAACCCCATCGTGTTCCACATGAAGAAAATGGGGCATTTATTGTGCAAGCTCCCGGTTCCTTCTTGCATGTTGTCATCGGAAATACATTTTATTTTATTTTTGCATCTGCCTCTCCCGATCGCACCCGTCGACTCCGTTTTCTCATGCTTTTGCAAAGAGAATATCTTTTTATGCTAATCCTTGTCAAACAAACAAATATTAAATGTAAGCGATATTGGAAATACCGCGATGGGCTTTTTAAAAAGTTTGAAGTGGAAAATTTCTCATGCCACCAAAGAAAATCAGCTTGGCTTGGAACCGGGAGGTCTGCCGGGGAGCGTGTCATAATCATGCCTCCAGGGTGTTCGGAGACACAAACAATTTATTTGTTTGGAATGCTGCATGGAGGTTTAATTGTCTAAGGAGGATAAACAACTGTTTCCACATCAGCATTTTTGGTTCAGAGGCACTCTTCAGATGAAACCAAAATGGCTGGCAAACCATTTGCAGACATAAGATGGAATGAGAGCTTTAAGGGTGGGGAGGAGCATTCTGTCATTTGAATATATAAATGCATTTATTTATTTATACCTTGCCCTTTTCAGACGGAATTTTAATCCTGCTTACTCTCTTACTCATTTATACTCTTTCTGTGATTTTGTGGATTTTAGTTTACTACACGCAGGGCTTCTTTTCTTAGAGCTTTTATTGTTTTATTCTTTCTGTAAACTGCCCTGTGATTGTGACTGAAGGGTGGTGAAAAAAATCCTTATATATAAAATACAGTAAACAACATCCAATGGAAAGCCAATATAACTGTTCTCTTCCTATAGCCCATGTACTGGTGGTGGTAGTGGGAGAGAATCAGTGCACAGTGGCCTACAGTGGCATCTGTGGGACTGTGAACTGGCCCAAGCCACAAAAACTTTTCCGATCCCTTCTTTAGACTTTGACTTAGTTGAAACAGAGCTTCTGCAGTTGCTCTCCTGGCCACCTCAACCAGGATGCCTCGCTCTGAGGAAGGATCCCTTTGGCCCTTTCTCAGAGCAAGGCAAGGAGGAAAGGGAGGTGGAGCAAGCAATGCCATGCCCATTGTTCTGCCCAGACGCTGAGGTCCAGCGCTGAGGGCCTTCTGGCAGTTCCCTCACTGCGAGAAGCAAAGCTACAGGGAACCAGGCAGAGGGCCTTCTCAGTAGTGGCGCCCGCCCTGTGGAACGCCCTCCCAGCAGAGATAAACAACTACTTGACATTTAGAAGACATCTGATGAAGACATCAGGGAAGTTTTTAATGTGTGACATTTTAATGTATTTTTAATCTTTGTTGGAAGCCGCCCAGAGTGGCTGGGGAGACCCAGCCAGATGGGCGGGGTACAAATAATAAATTATTATTATTATTATTATTATTATGTGGCAAATGTAGGCGGGGCAGGGAGAGAGAGAGAGGAGAAAGAGGAAGAACATGAGCAGTAGCAACAGCTGGGGACAGAGAAGAGGAGGCCGTAGAGGGCACTACCCATCTTAAGCAGTGCAACCTCTCGTGCCACCCCTGCTCTTGGCTGGCAGCAAATGAAATGATCTGGTCCCATGCTGGCATAGCCCGGGACAGAATGGCCTGGTGTTTTGAAAAACCATTGCTAAAGAGGGAGAAGAGACAGTTTTGCAGAACCCTTTCAACGGCCTGTTTTCCTACCAAATAAAAAAAGCAAAGTTCAAGATAGACAGTTTTATTAACCCATATTTAGACGTCACATGTGCGGCTGACAGCCTTGAATGACAAGCACTTTATTTCGCATGCCTCTGGCTGATATGGAAAATTTCACACTTAGGAAAATAGCAGCGCCTTGAAGGTCAATGTCAGTAGAGCATCAGCTAAAGCCTTGGATAGGATTGGGCTGTACATATAATAAGGCGAAATATAGAAGATTTACAGCGCAGGGAGATAAGCTCTTTCCCCCTTTGCTTGCAATGTCTCAGGGATCTCCAGGCCCTGAAGGCAGGGAAGAAAATTTGGTACCCATTAAAGTGGAATGTGGGTCAAAGCAAACAGGAGCAACTAGGCAGCCCAGATCTATGGTTATGCAGCTACTGTAATGGCTTAGGCGCAAGGGCTCCAATCCTCTCCTGCTGGCAGAACATCATGTGCAGCACTCCAAGCTAATTCAGAGGAAGAATATTTGTTTTGTAGGATGGAGCTGCAGCAAATGGACTGTGGAAAACATTGCTAGAAAACTCCAAGTCTTTTTCCAGGGATTGAAACTGGGACCTTTTGCATGCGCAGCAAATGCTCTAGCACTGAGCTATGGGCCTTCCGCATAGACCTGCATTTTCTGCATATTGTGGAAGCTGCACAATGAAGGCACTAGATAGACACACTACTGTGGAAAGGGAATTTCACAATTTAGTGGCTGTCTCTCCCTGGCTGCTAATCTCTGCACTTCTGATATGCGCATTTGTTCAGTGAAAGCACAAAGGGCATTTCTGAATAGGGCTATGTTTGACGTATATGGCATTTCTTGAGACAAGGAATACAAAACCGATGTGACGAATAATCAGAGGAACAGACTACTTTGCTGCTCCATTACCTCTCTGAAATGATTTTCCTTTCTTTGCAGTACTTTTATAAAACCAACGAACTCATTTATTGCAGTTAATATTTTATGATAAACATCTAAATAATCGAGTCTGAAATAATGTGCCTTTAAACACACACACACAAAACAAAATATACTCTTGTTTCTCGGAAAAGCACTTTGGATGCATTAACACCTTGCTAGCAGTACTTTTTAAAGTTACACCATCAGTTCTCTCCCCCCCCCCCCCCGCAAACGGTTTTTAATTGCGGAAATTATTTTTTTAACTGCAGCAGGAGTGAATGAAATAGTCACAGTTCTTCAGTGAAGTAACATATCTTACGGGTGAACATGGAAGGATGAGATTTAAGGAGAAGACATAAAAGAGGAATCTAAAGAATTTCCCACACTAAAAAATACTAATAACCAAGCACATATTCTTTTATTTTCTTCCCTTTTGGTCCCATTAGCATTGTATACTGTGCATGCCTTGCCTTCATTGACCCTGTATTCCATATTGGCTTCATCCTGCACCCAACCTGAGTTCTGCCCTGCCTGGCTACAATTTGCTTTGCAACTGCGTAGGGCATACAGGGACGCGGGTGGCACTGTGGTCTAAACCACTGAGCCTAGGGCTTGCCTGACTGGAAGGTTGGCGGTTCAAATCCCCGCAACAGTGTGAGCTCTGTTGCTCAGTCCCTGCTCCTGCCAACCTAGCAGTTTGAAAGCATGTCAAAGTGCAAGTAGATAAATAGGTACCGCTCCGGCGGGAAGGTAAACGGCGTTTCCATGAACTGCTCTGGTTTTGACAGAAGCAGTTTAGTCCTGCTGGCCATATGACCTGGAAAAACTGTCTGCGGACAAACGTCGACTCCCTCGGCCAGTAAAGCGAGATGATGGCTGCAACCTCAGAGTCGTTCGCGACTGGACTTAACTGTCAAGGGTCTTTTACCTTTTTTTAGGGCATATAGTAAGCCAGTGATGGCAAACCTTTTAGAGACCGAGTGCCCAAACTGCAGCCCAAAACAGAGTTAATTTATCGCAAAGTGCCAACATGGCATTTTAACCTGAATACTGAGGTTTTAGTTTAGAATAAACAACTAACTAATTAACATCTTTTGTCTTAAAAAACCCCCACAATAACAGGGTTTTCAATGATACAAACCACTTTTTATTGAAAGTTAAAAGCTTGCATTTGGCATGCTTTTGAACAATTAATATGATTTTTGCTGTTGTACGCATGCTGATAGTTTGTCGAACCTTGGCTCATACTTTGTAAGTTTGAGAGCAACGCATGCAGTAGCACTCAGGTCATCTGTTAGTCTGTTTTCTGGTGTCAGATTTGATATGATTCAAAGGTGAAAACAGCTGCTCACAAGCATAAGATGATCCAAACAAAGTAATCCCAAGTGCTTTCATTGACTTAAAATTATTTGGCAGACAATTCCAGACTTTAAGGGAACATTTTCAGAACTAACTGTGCTGTCCTTTGTCATTCCTCCTCTCTTCTCAAGTGTTGCACACAGGTCATATAACTTATTTTTCCAGATAGAGGTTTCTTGAAATTCCAGTTGCTCCATTTCCAGGTTTCCTAAATCTAACCTGTGTAAGCAGGAAAGATCAAGTTTGTCACATTAGTCTTTATCTGGAGAAGTAAGAAAACACAGGGCTGTTTCCATCTTACGGAACTGTAAAAATCTGTTAATCTGGCAAACTCAGTGCTGGGGTGATGGCGCGGGTGCTCACAGAGTACCCCCTCTGAGTACCCCCTCTGGCACACATGCCATAGGTTCACCACCACTACAGTAAGCAGTTGGGCACCTGGTTATTTGAAGGGACATCTTCTCTTAGCTGAGATCTCTGAATAAGGCTGTTCTGCTTGAGATCCACTAGGCCAGGGCCATGCCCAGTGCTCAGCTTCTGGGATTTCAGCTCTTGCAAAAAGCCTATCTATTCACCCAGACATTGTTAACACTGAGCTGGGGTAGCAGTTGACTGATCTGCTGCAGGTTGTAAGGTATTTTATGGCCTTTCCCAATGTTTGTTTTTATATGAATTGTATTGCGTTATTGCAAACTGCCCTGGTATTCCTGATGATGGGTGATGAAAGAGATGCTTTAAATAAATAAATCTTTTGATAGTCATCTATCAAATATCAGCTTTCCACTGATATTTTGGAGCAATCTTGCTCCCCACCAAAGAGTTATGGTGATGGACCCTATATTCTGGAACTAAGCTGCTAAGGGAACAGGACTCATTTCAGTGAGGCTGCTTAGCACCCATTGAACCCAATGGCATTCAAGTTGCAGTGGCCCATAAATTGAAACAAGTGTCAAACTATACATGAATATATAGTGTGCAGCTACAACTCTTGCTTTTCTTAGTTACAACAATGGCACGGGGTGTGGGGCGGTGATTGGTACTGGATTGTGATTTATGTCTACAAGCCCACTCCCAAATATTAGCCCCTGGAAGATTTATATCTAAGACAAAAGTATTCCCAAAAGTATTCCCATATGGGAAAGTTTCTTTAAAAACAACAGCACAAGACTGCATACATGTGACATTTCATTCTGAAATCAATTGAGTACAGTGGTACCTCGGATTACAAACGCTTCAGGTTATGTACGCTTCAGGTTACAGACTCTGCTAACCCAGAAATAGTACCTCGGGTTAAGAACTTTGCTTCAGGATGAGAACAGAAATCATGCGGTGGTGGCGCAGCAGCAGCAGGAGGCCCCATTAGCTAAAATGGTACCTCAGGATAAGAACAGTTTCAGGTTAGGAACGGACCTCCGGAACGAATTAAGTACTTAACCTGAGATACCACTGTACTTGTTTTCTTCTACGTAGTCCACACACTGTCTAGATCTAGTGCATTTTTTTAATTTATTTTTTGCCCCTGAAAAGTGCTTCTTGAGAAACTGGTTTCATTCCGAAAACAAAAGCTTGCTGCCTATTGGTTCTGCATTAAGGTAAGGGAAAGGAGAAAAAACCCTGGTAGATTAGGTCCAGTCAAATTCAACTATGGGGTGTTGGGTTCATCCCTGCCTTCAGGCTGAGGGAGCCGGTGTTTGTATGTGCTGTGATTTTGATTATTTTCGTTCGTTTGTCTGTACTTTTGAGTTTACATCAGTAAAAACTTTTTAAAAAAATATTAGGCACATTTATGGAAGAAAAAGCTTTCATTGGCCACTAACCTTGATTGCTGTGTTCTACCTCTACTGTTTCTGAATAGCAATTGCTGGGGATTGCAAGAGAGGAGCGTGGTCTTGTGTTCAGGTCCTGCTTGTGGGTTTCTCACAGGCATCTGGTTGGCCAATGGGAGAACAGGATGCTGGACTAGATGGGCCACTGGCCTGATTTAGCAGGCTCTTCTTATATTCTTACATACTTGGACCCTAAATCACACTATTAAGCAGGAGGGAAAATGCCCTTACCAAAACCAAACAAAAGACAAATTAATTGTAAAGAAAAGAAAAAAGTTTAAAGGGCAATTTACTTACGTTCAGAGAAATTTTGTGACAATTAATATACAATCTGCTGGCTTTTTTTTCTCCCTCCAAAAAATAATACTTTTAAGGCATTTAATGCCCACATATTAAATATCCTTGCTAATGACTTACCAGTTTTAAATACTTCACAGTAATGATTTATATAATTTGAAGTGGTTATTTTCCATACTTCATTACTTTCCCCAAAATGATCATTGATTTGATAATTAGTTGATCTTTCAAAGCCTGAAGACATGATGTCCTTGAAAATATTTTAAATGTCTTGTTCAGGGCAAAACTAAATTATTATCTTCCGCATACTATTGACTGCTAATTTTAGAGATTTTTATCTAACATTGACTATGTGTCTCTTTATCATTTTTATGCAGTCGGGCAGAAGACTCAGAAATCAACACCGCAGCAGTATTTGAACCAATAAAGTTCTGTGCGAGATCAGCCGTAATACACCTTTAACTAAAACCAGTCACCCTTGTGATATAAAAGGGCTTCCAGCTTTCCTTGCCTCTGCCAGACTTTCACATACTGTATATTAGCATAGGAAACTGCCTTCTCCCAGCTCACATACCCTCCAACATTCCTCTGATTAAAATAGGGACATCCTATTCAATAATAATAATAATAGTAATAATAATAATAATAATACTAGAATCATAGAATCATAGAGTTGGAAGAGACCACAAGGGCCATCGAGTCCAACCCCCTGCCAAGCAGGAAACACCATCAGAGCACTCCTGACATATGGTTGTCAAGCCTCTGCTAATACCTCACCATCTGACAGGGTTGACCCAGCCACTGTGGGTAGCTTCCAACATACAGTGATACCTTGGTTTACAAGCATAATCCGTTCTGGAGGTCCGTTTGTAAACCAAAACAGGTTGTAACCCAAGGTGTGCTTTCGCCAATGGAGCCTCCAAATTTTTTTTGTTCGTAATAAATATATATATATATATATGAGTTGTAATCTAAAAAGGTTCACAAACTTCTGGGTTTGACGTGTTTGTAATCCAAAAATGTATGCAAACCAGACTGTTTGTAAACCAAGGTACCACTGTAGATAAAAACATTAAAACATCTTTAAAAAGCCTTCCCTATACAGGGCTACCTTCAGATGTTTTCTAAAGGTTGTATGTTTACTTATCTCCTTGCCTCAGGGGTCACATACCCTCCAACATTTCTCCGATGAAAATAGGGACGTTGTAAGGGAAAGCGGGATGTTC